GGGCCGGCGCAGCCCCCCAGCACAGACGGGCCCCGCGTCCCGCCGGCACAACGGCGGTGCCCGGGCGAGCCCACGACCCTGAGGGGAAAGCGCACCTCTCCTCCCGGGCCCTGCCCGGTGTCGGCGGCTCCGGCCCAGGTTTGTTCTTCAGCGGGAACCCTCCTGCAGTCGCTTTTGCTTATTCTGTCCTGAGAGAAGGGTGCTGCTGGCCCTCAACGTCAATCCTAGAATGGTTTGGGTTGGAAGGGACCTTTAAAGGCCATGTAGTCCAACCGCTCGGGAATGAGCAGGGACATCTTCAACTACGTCAGGTTGCTCAGAGCCCCGTCCAACCTGACCTTGACTGTTTCCAGGGATGGGTTATCGACCACCTCTCTGGGCAACCTGTTCGAGTGTTTCACCACCCTCAGCACTAGAAATTAATTCCGAGGGGGTGTTGGAAGTCCCTGTGGCCCAGGGCAGCTTCCCCGGGTGTGGGAAGCGGGGAGTTCATGCCCCATGTTTGCTGTGTGCCTGGTGTGCTCTGCGCAGGTGGGAGCTGTGCTCCCATTTCGGTGTTACACAAAATGAGAGGACATACGGGGTTCAACTGCATAAAAGCAAAGCTAAATGCCAAGGTCTGAATTCTATCTTGACTTGGCCAAGGAAAATTCCAGTTGAAGACAGACAATTTCCTGAAAAAGTGTAGCTTCTGATTTTAACATTTTCTGATTTACCAAATAAATTCCATCTTTTATTAAGCTATGCTGTATATATAACAATGTGTAACCCTCAACCCTTTGTAACGCATTTAAACTGACCAATGCATATAATGATGTGTCTCTCATGTTGCAGCAAAAAACTAACCCATGCACACATGATTGAAAAGGAGCCATATGATCACAGTGAAACACTGAACATACCTGTTTCCTTTCTGTGTGCGTGCCGACTTGTTTCTGTAGCGCATTAAATGAGAACTTAAGCAGAATGAACCATATAATCAATTCAAACATTTGTTTCAGTACATAATCATGAACAACTATGCTGTAGAATT